TGGATGGAGCTGGAGAGCATTATACTAAGTGAAATAAGTCAGTCAGAGAAAGGTAAATATCACATGATCTCATTCATTTGTGGATTATAATGAACAACATAAACCTATGAACAATAACAGATCCAGAGACAGAGAAGCATTGGTCAGATGCTCAAACCTCAGAGGGAAGGTAGGGGAGGGAAGGGATAAGGGGGAGATATCAACCAAAGGACTTGTAAGCATGCATATAAGCATAAGCAATGGGTGTAGACAGCAGGGAGTGAGAGTGGGATTGGGGGAATCAGGAGGAAATGGGGGGTTAAGGACACATTTGTAATACCTTAATAAAGGGGAAAAAAGAAAAGGGAGCCTACTGTATGGGAAAATATATTTGCCAATTATACATCCAATAAAAGATTAATATCAAAAATATATATATAAGGAACTCATACAATTAAACAAAAGAAGACAAGCAATCCAATTAAAAATGGGCAAAGAACCTAAATAGATTCTTTTCTAAAGAGGACACAGAGATAGCCAAGAGACATATGAAAAAATGGTCAAAGTCACTGATCTTCAGAGAGATGAGATGCAAATTCAGACTACAATGAGGTATCACCTTACACCTATCAGAATGGCTATTGTCAACATATCAACAAATGACAAGTGCTGGTGAGGCTGTGGAGAATAGGAACCCTAATACACTGCTGGAGAACCCTAATACACTGCTAGTGGGGATGCAGATTGGTGCAGTTGTTATGGAAAACAGTATGGAGTTTCTTCAAAAAATTAAATATGGAACTGTCATTTGACCCTGCAATTCCACTTCTAGAAATATATTCTTAAAAAAAACACCAATCAGAAAGAATATATGCACCCCTATGTTCATAGCAGCACAATTCACAATAGCTAAGATCCAGAAACAGCCCACCAGTAGATGAGTGGATAAAAAAGCTGTGGTACATATATACCATGGAATACTACGCAGCTGTAAAAAAATGACCTTTTACCCTTTGAGACAGCATGAAGAGACCTGAAGAGTATTACAAGCAAAAAGCCAGACAGAGAAAGACAAATATCGCATAATCTCACTTAAATGTGGAATCTAATGAATAAAATAAACTGATGAATAAAATGATCCAGCAACATAGAGGCATGGAACATACTGTCAGATCTCAGAGGGAAGGCAAGCATGGGTGAGCAGGTGGAAAGAGATCAACAAAAGAATTGTATGCATGTATGCATAATCAGTGGATCCAGATAATATATGGTGAAGTTCTGGGGTAGGGAGTGGGGCAGGCTAGAAGGGTTAATTGGGGGAAAGGGGAGACATATGTAATACTTTCAACATTAAACTGTTTTAGAAAATTTGTTTTAAAAAAAGAGTAAAAACAGTAACTTTGCAAACATTATCATATGCATTCTGATATGTACTGGTATAAATCTAAGCCTGAAATATACATACAAACATACTAGTACATACATACATACATACATACATACACACACACACAGAAGGTAAACATAGTACAATATTAACCATTGGGGAATTGGCTAAAGATTGACCAGGAATTCTTAATATCATTATTACAACTTCTCTATTTTTTTAAAATCATTTCTTTTTTTTTTCTTTTTTTTTCTTTTTTTAAAATATTTTATTGATTTTTTACAGAGAGGAGGAGAGAGGTATAGAGAGCTAAAAACGTCGATGAGAGAGAAACATCGACCAGCTGCCTCTTGCACACCCCCTACCGGGGATGCGCCTGCAACCATGTACATGCCCTTGACCGGAATCGAACCCAGGTCCTTTCAGTCCACAGACAGACGCTCTATCACTGGGCCAAACCGGTTTTGGCAATTTTTTTTTTTAATCATTTCAAAATAGAAAGTTGAAAAATCTTTTTTCCCAGCTGGAGCAATGCTCAAGAACAAAGGAGTTCAGGGCATGACTGGAATCAGGGACTCTGTCCCCCAGGACTCCAGTCCCTCTTATTCTTTTCTGGGCTCCCAAAGGGCAGTCAGAAATCAGCCACAAGCTTGGGGACCTGGTTGCAGTCTCTCATTAACAGTTAAGTATTATCATGGATTCATTTCTCTGGAGCTGGTTAAGGAAAAGGAAAGTCTGTAGAAGTGCCAAGGTCCCAGATATTGCTTCTGTGTGTCTGGATGTGAGGTCTCCTGAAGAAAACCTGAGGAGATGGGCAACAGTCTGGAGCAGAAAGTGTCTGAACTCACCGATGATGAGCCCAGGTGAGAGGAGCTGGAAATCTGCCCTTGGCGATGGATCTGCCTGTGTGCTAGTGGGGTTCATGTGTGAGACTCTGTGTCCATGACTCTGTGTGTGTATTGTGTACACTTGTATATGTGCTGTTTGATAGTTGTGTATGTGTTTTGAATCTGACTCACAGTCTCATTTCAGCATATGTAGACCAAGTTATCAGCCTCCTGGATGTGATTAGGGACTCCTGCTTCATGTTTGTGATTGTAAACAATGGTATCACAGCTGAGCATTGGAAGTGAGACTCTTATCTCTGCTGGAGAACAAGAAGATGCCTGCCTCATCAAGAACCAAAATCAGCTCAGACAGAGCTCAGACCTCTGCTCAGCAGTGTGTTGTGCACATGTGAGCTGTGCCTGTGGGCGACACTCTCATATATGAGAGCTGGAAATTATGTTATTGATTTTCTGTGTGTGTGTGTGTGACACATGTGTATGACTGTATGCATGGGTGTTGGTGGTGGTTTAATGACTGTACCTGTAAACTGAATAGGCTTAACTGTTCCATGCTGACTGCAAGGGGAAGGTCAGAAGGATGAAAGTTTCATTAATAGGACAGTGTATACTGTTTGTTGTAGTGAGTGTGGTTGGGTGTGCATATGTGTTGTGGTGTGTGTTTCTTATAAGATTACTGAATTGTTTGTACTCTTGTATGATGTAGTATTTAAGTTATGTATATGTGGTGATTTGAGTGTTCATCAGGTGAATCATGAAGCATGTGTGTTGATGAGGATTGTTAGTATGTTTTGGGGTGAGAGGTGTATTATTGTAGGTTGTGTATGTCCAACTTTGTGTTAGTTCTGACTTGTATGTATGCATATGAGTGTTTATGAGTTGAACCACATATTGGCAGTTCTTCCTTTACGATGGAAATTTGGTCAGGGGTGACTTACATTCTCCAATCAGCAGTGTGTGTGTGAGTGTGTGTGTTCTGTATCCATGACTCAAGTGTTTCCTAAAGTGTCCTCCTTCAGGACACCATTACCTAAGATACTCAATTCTAAGCAACACCCTGTCTCTTGAAATTGATTTGCTATTATTTTTATGAACCTGAGTGTGACTAAGTTGCTCAGAATTTTCCAACCTTTTCTTTATTTTTACTAAACATACCATGGAAACAAACAAACTAACCATAAACTCCAGGTATCATGATGTGTAAAGGTATTGGGCAGAATTGGCATTATATAGTGATGAGATCTTGGGGAGGTTATATAAAACATTGGTCTAACTTTCACATATATAAAATGGAAAGAATGACACAAGTTTAATGAATCTTGCAGACATTCTCAGTAAATAGTTATTTCATAAATAGATCTTAATGTATTTGAGAGGTTTTTGTCAGTTGGAAAGTAAATAAACATGAAGGAATAAAATTAACTAGTAAAGGGAATAAAAACACATTTTGGACAACTCTGTGTCCTCACAGCTCTAAAATAATATATTGTGCTTGTCTCCTAAGCAAGAAAAGGGAAGTTTCCCTGTGTAACAGTTAAGTCAATGGTTTCTGCCCTGGCCTGTTTGGCTCAGTGGCTAGAGTACCGGCCTATGGACTGAAGGGTCCCTGGTTCAATTCCGGTCAAGGGCATATACCTTAGTTGCAGGCACATCCCCAGTGTGAGGTGTGCAGGGGACAGCTGATCGATGTTTCTCTCTCATCCATATTTCTGACTCTATCCCTCTCCTTCTTTGTAAAAAAATCAATAAAATATATTTTTTTAAAGAAAAAACAAAGCATGGTTTCTGATCACACAGACATATTAGACTGAACTCCATGAAGTAGCTAACACTTGGTGATTTCTAACTTATAGAAAATGGTAATACATATATACCATTATAAACATTTCATATCACATATGTAATAGATACTAATACACACGCATGTATTTGTGCGCTATTCTGTTCCAGCTGTACTGCTGTGAGCCTGCAGAAGTTGTGTCATTTATGTTTCTATTTCTTAAAAACTAAAATAGGTCAAAGAATACAAATCCTTAGAGTAGCTGTGAAGAGGTTTTAAAACCTGGGAATGTAAGGCTGATGAATGGATTTGATTAGAAAATGTAGGTAAAGTCCTTAGCCTGGTACCTAAATGTTCACCTAAATGTTCAGCGTTATTTTGAAAGACACTTGGTGGACAATTCTGGTTTTGAAGATATTCCGGCATCTAGTGGGTTACAGTGGCCACCCATTTCCAGAGTGTCCCTGAGTTACAGCTGAGGGTCAATGGGAGCAGGCAGGTTCACAGGAAGTGTGACAATGCTCCAACCATGCCCACTCAGCACTGGAGTCTCACATTACTTTCAGGCAGAAACAACTGACACCACGTTACAGGCTCTGACCTTCCATTTTTGCCACAGTGAATGATTATGGTTTGGCTCTGGCCTGGAGTAGAAATGATCCCACCATGCTCATCAAGATGTAAACTCAAAGGAGTGGGCACATTGCATTCTTATTTACTGCTGCATTTCAGTCCTTAGTAGAGGTTTTGACACAGATGTGATGTTAAAGGTAATACCTGAGTAAACATCAAACCTCTCTTACTTCTGATGAAGTCTTGTAACTACTTTGGGAGCTCAATGTGCTCGTGGAGCCAGACTGGGAGAGAGGGAAGAGGCACACATCCACAGGTGTGAAAAATTAATATTTAAGTGTTTAAAAATGAATGGTTTTCCCAATTATGACAGTATGAGATGAGATGACTGTTCATCCTTTCTAGGTTCCTGAGACTCCTAACCCTTCTTCATCCCCAGCAGACAGAAGAGCAGCATGAGGCCTGAGAACCAGAGCAGCGTGTCCCAGTTCCTCCTCCTGGGGCTCCCCATCCCACCAGGGCAGCAGGGCGTGTTCTTCACCCTGTTCCTGGGCATGTACCTGACCACGGTGCTGGGCAACCTGCTCATTATCCTGCTCATCAGGCTGGACTCTCGCCTGCACATGCCCATGTACTTCTTCCTCAGCCACTTGGCCTTCTCTGACATTTCTCTCTCATCTGTCACTGTCCTTAAGATGCTCATGAACATGCAGACTCAGCAACAATCCATCTCCCATGTGGGATGCATTTCTCAAATGTATTTTTTCATGTTTTTTGGTACTCTTGACAATTGTCTTCTGGCTGTGATGGCATATGACAGGTATGTGGCCATCTGTCACCCTCTGCACTACATCACCATCATGAGGGAGGGCCTGTGTCTGCTGCTGGTGGCTGGCTCCTGGATTCTCTCCTGTGGCGTTGCCCTTTTGAACACCCTCCTCTTGGTCCAACTGTCTTTCTGTGCTGACAATACCATCATTCACTACTTCTGTGATCTCGCTGCACTCCTGAAGCTAAGCTGTTCGGACACCTCCCTCAATGAGCTGGCCATATTCACCGAGGGAGGGATGATTTTATTTTTGTGTTTTGGTGTTATTTTGGGCTCCTATATCCGTATAGGGACCCTCATATTGAGGGTCCCCTCCACTAAGAGACTCTCTAAAGCCTTGTCTACCTGTGGCTCCCATCTCTCTGTGGTGTTGTTATACTATGGGACAGCTGTAGGTGTTTACTTTTTCTCCTCAGCATGGAGTTACAAAGACATAATTGCTTCGATCATGTATACAGTAGTTACCCCCATGCTGAACCCCTTCATCTACAGCCTGAGAAACAGAGATATAAAACAGGCCTTAGACATGTGTGTCAATAGGGTTAAGTTCTTTAAGTGGCAATATTAAATCCTCTTATTGCAGTCAGAAACACAGGGAAATATATCTCCTAAAATTACTAAATAGTCCACATCTCCATATAATTTTAATAGAATATCCATTCTCTTGTCATGTATGGTGTGGTTAATATGTAAACTAGGTCAAGTTTGCTACATGGATTGTTAGTAATGTTATAGTCCCAATTATTAATTGTTGCTTATTCATCACCTCATAAGATATATGCAAAATCTTATGCAAAATATATTGCACAATTATAGTTGTGGATTTGTCTTTTTCTCCTTTGAGATGTGTCTTGCTTATTTATTTTTTTATACTATGTTATCGATGACATACTGATTTAGTGTCATGATTTTCTTCTGGTGAAATTTTCTTTTACCTTATTCTTTGATGCTGGCTTTTGATAGCTTCAAATTGATTGTGAGAATCTCTTCCCAACTGACATTCAGTGACATCATGTTGGTAGATTGCAATCAGCCATGATAAGAAAAATTACACTATGAAAAATGGCATATGCTACAAAAGAAGGCTTTTTTAAAAAGAGATCCAAACATTTTAAAAATACATACAAAAATCATACCACTGCATTTATAATTAGGAGGTATTTCTAGAAATGGGCTTTACTTTAACCACTCATCTACTTCCAATATTAGTATAGGTACTTTATATCTATTGCTATGGATATAGGTACACATGCAGATTTTCGAACAGACATCCTGTATAATAAAGAGGTAATATGCAAATTGACCATCATTCCAACACACAAGATGGCTACCCCTTGTAGTCAAAAATGGCTACCTCCATGGGGGAGGGTAGTTAGGGGCGACCAAGCCAGCAGGGGAAGGCAGTTAGGAATCAATCAGGCTGCCAGGGGATTGATTAAGGGGTGATCAGGCTGGCAGGCAGAAATGGTAGGGGCAATCAGGCAGGCAGGCAGGCAGGCAGGCAGGCAGGCAGGCGAGTGGTTGGGAGCCTGCAGTCCTGGATTGTGAGAGGACAGTTAGACATTTCTTAAGGGGTCCCAGATTGGAGATGGAGGAGGCTGGGCTGGGAGACACACATCCCACCCCCGTGCACAAATTTCATGCACTGGGCCTCTGGTATAGGTATAAATACACAGATAGAGATATAGATACTAATATAGAATAGGTAGTAAAATGGAGCTTTCTTGCAGTTAGAGTTTAAATTGTATATTTTTTCCATTACTTTAAACTTTTCTTTTTCCTTATATCTCTGAGGTTTTCATTATTAACAATGTAATGCTGGATATTGCTCATCTTATGTAGAACAACAATTATTGTATTTCTGGAGAATTTTATCTCTTGACATCTACTGTAATCATAATACATTTTAATTTATATTTTCCATGTAACTATGTTTTTTATTTGATACATGTTTCACATATATTCTATCTTGTCTTCCTCCCTTTTGATTAAATATATATTTTAATCCATTTCCCTCTACAGTAGGTCCTTGGATTACATCTGAGCTCCACTCCTATGGTGCGACATAATGTGATTTTCACCATAAGTCAGAACCCACCTACATAAGCACCTACATCACTCACGTGGAGCACATACACAGCAGTAATAAAGTGAAACAGTAAAAAAAAAAATTTAAATAATAATTCCTAACCTTTACTTGTGGTAAATAAATAATAAAAAACATAAAGCACATATGTACATACATCGAAATGGCAGGACTTTTTTTATATATAAATAAATGGGAGTTGGCAACATAACCACAAAACGACATATGTCCAGTCCAACGTAACCCAAGGACTGTCTGCATTAACTTAATCATACATTATTATTATTGTTTTACGATTCTCCCCTGTGCTCTTATGAGATCATTTCTTACACTCCCTTTAATTTTTCATTGTAGTTTGATATACAAAATATAAAATTTACCACTCTAGCCATTTGAACCATTTAGGACACTCATCAGCAATATCTCATTTTATAATCACTAAAATAGTCTCTATAAAACGTCAATTGAGTAACTTGCAACTGTGAAAAAATAAGAACAGCCGATACCGGTTTGGCTCAGTAGATAGAGTGTGGCTTGCAGACTGAAAAGTCCCGGGTTCAATTCCAGTCAAGGGCATGTACCTTGGTTGCAGGCACATCCCCAGTAGGGGTGGTGCAAGAGGCCGCTGATCGATGATTCTCTCTCATTGATGTTTCTCACTCTCTATCCCTCTCTCTTCCTCTCTTTAAAAATCAATAAAATATATTTTAAAAAATAAATAAGAACAAAGATATCTATTAATACAAAGAAATATTAAGATATATTGCTAAATGAAAAAATGCAATGTGTAAAAGTGCACTTATAGTATGCTACCTCTCATGTAAAGGAAATAAAATATCGATATGTCTGTCCATTTGAGCAAAAAGAAACACAGGAAGAATAAATCAGAAACTAATAGGATTTTTTATGTACAGGAATTGGGGCAGAAGTGATGGGGAGATGGGGAGAATTATTATATTTATGTAGTTTTGACTATGTTGCTTTTGCAAGCAAAACATGAACAGAAAAGGTGGCTAGTAAAGCAAAATAGAAAAAAACAAATCAAATAAAAATAACAAAATTTAAATTAACATCATAATTACACTAAAAGGGAAAATAAAATAAATAATCTAAGTAGTTCTTGAACCCAGAATTTTATCTATATACTTTCACAATTTAAAAAAAAAAAAGAAAAACCTCAAATTAAAGTTTTAAGCTGTGCTATGTTATTAACTGTGGTGTGAGTTCAAGATTCTGAAACAACCCCCCATGTATCCAAAGATTCAGCAAATAAGTCAACACTGAGGAAAAGATCGTGACTCTCACTCTCAGGGAAAGGAGCTCTGAACATGGAAAAGGAGAGGCTGGAAAACACTATGGTGTCAAACTAGAGTTGGAGATATCAATTCAAACTCATGGGTTTTAAAATATATAAACAGTTTGCAATTTATTTTTTTATTCATAGTCTGTATACCAACATCTATATTGCCCCACCCTCATTATTTGTGTCCCACTCCTGACCCACCTCCTGTGGGTAAACTTTCCTTCAGTTTCTTAGTTTCTAGTTTTTACTCCTTTTGTTTCTGTTATCAGTATTTCCTAGTTGGCTTCTCTGAGATCATTTAGAATCCCTGCAACCAATGAAAATGCTTAAAGCTACAAAACAAATAATGGTAATGGGTTATAACTCAAGAGAATAAGGAAGTGTCCATGAGACTATAATGGTACCAAAAAAAGTAAATAAAGTTAAATAAATAAAGTGGGAAATAGGGTAAGTCCCTTTTTATAGGAGAATACACCTAATAAACATCTTATCTAATAAAGAGGGGAAATGCAAATTGACTGCCACACCATAATGGTCAAGATGGCTGTGCTCACAGCAGAGGAAGGGATTCCATAACACGAGAGGGCTGTGCCCAGAGCGGAGGTGGAGTTCCCTGTAAGGAGCCTTAACAAGCATCAGCAGGGACCAGAGGCTGTGTGGTGCTGGGCCTGGGAAAGGGACCTGAGGCTGCGCCCCCGCCTGGTGAAGCTTGACAGGGAACCTTGGGCCACGCCCCCCATCAAGCCAGGCTTGATGGGGGACCTCAGGCTGTACCCCCAGCCCCGGCCCGGGCAACTTCAGACCTAGCCCCCCGTCTGGCAGGGCTTGATAGGGACCTTAAGGCATGCCCCCTGCCCCAGCCCAGGGTGGGGGACCTCAGGCCATGCACCCTGCCCTGTGCCAGGGGACTTGAGATTCCACCTCCTGCCTGGTGAGGTTTGACAGGGGACCTCAGGCCACGCCCCCTACTTGGCAGGGCTTGATGGGGACCTCAAGGCACACCCCCCCCCATCCCAGACCAGAGGGCCCAAGGCCATGACCCCTGCCCCAGGACCGGGCCAGGCAATCTGAGGCCATGCCCCCTACCCAGTGGGGCTTGACCAGCCAGGTCTAGATCTAGTCCAATGAAGGTGGGGCTGGCTGGTTCTGGGTCTCACACAATTTTGAGGCGCACGTGGGTAGGGGGTTGGGGGGACTTGACTTTGGTTCCCATAGCATACCCCAGACTCTGACAGGAGGAAGATTTTCATATACATTTTACTAATTTTCTTTCATCTCTGACACTTCTATTACAGAGCAAGGGCAAACAGCAATATTAAAATATTTCCTCTAATTAATTCCCTTGTAATGTGCATGAATTTCATGCACCAGGTCACTAGTAGAAGAATTAATTAGAAGAATCACCAGTTAGCCACCACATTTGCAATAATTTTGTCATATAAAAATCACCAATAAATCTTTACAGAGAATTCCTTATGACCTCAGCATATTTTTATAGATGAGCCATATCTCTACCCTCTCATATCCCAGAGAACATTTGTTCACTTTTTCCACATACAGAACTACAGGAATTTGAAGACAATGATTGTGTGACCCACCCTATATCAAATATGTTCAATTCATTTATTTCTACTTATTTGCTGGTAGGTAAAGTATTTTCTAGGACTCAAACCTGGGTCTGCACATATCAAAGTGAATACTTTATATTGGTACCATCAGGTCAGAGCCTTTGCCACCCAGGCATCATGATGACATTGATGACAATGGCACTTACAATTCTATATATGAAACTTAAACAGTTTTCAAAGTCCAATTTCCCACAGATGGTAACCAAGTGTCCAGGTTACCTAGGGCTGAGGGATGTTCCATTTTAAAAGCAAGGAAGTCCTGAGTAAATACAGAGGATTATTTGATCACTCCAGAAAGCAACCTCCTTTTGTTAACGCCATCAAGAAAAGACAATAGCAGAAAAAAAACTAGTATCAGACCAGCATTTGATAAAAAATAGTTCTAGTTCTGTATGATCCTTATCATTTCATGGATCTTCAAAGGAAAAGAGGGAAGATACTCCCATCATACCCAGAATATCTGAGTCTCAACTATGACTTATCTATGTAATTAGTTATTCCTTTTCTAACCTTACACATGAGACAGAGCAACAGAAAGAGAGAAAGAAACAGAAACAGAGACACAGAGAGAAAAACCTGTGCTTAATAATTTTCTAGTAAATACAAATCTCCAGGATATCTTTTTTTTTTTTTTTTGAATCTTCACCCAAGGGTATTTTCTATTGATTTTTTTTAAGAGAGTAGAAAAGATAGAGTAAGATAGAAATATTGATGTGAGAGAAACACATCAATTGGTTGCCTTCTGCATGTGCCATGACCAGGGCCCGGGGCAGGGAGGAGCCTGCAACCA